GGGGGCCAGCGCTGTGGTGTAGCAGGTAAAGCCGTCACCTGCAGTGCCAGCATCCCATATGGGCACTAGTTCCAGTCCCGGCTGCTCCACTAACGATCCAGCTCTCTGCTACGGCCTGGGAAAGCAGTAGAAGATGGCCCAAGTGCTTGGGACCCTGCACCCACGTGGAAGACCTGGAAGAATCTCCTGGCTCCTGGCTTCAGATCAGCGCAGCTCTGGCTGTTGCAGACATTTGGGAATTGAAGCAGTGGATGGAAGCCCCCCACCCTCCCGTGTCTGCTTCTGTGTAACTCTGCCTTTCAAATAAACCATACTTTTCACTTTTCTTTTTTAGATGAGCTTTATGTAAATATGTTTTCATAATTTGTAATCTCTTCATTTAAAACTATACAGTTCAATTTTTTTTTAAAATATGGTGTGCTATGCAACAATCACAATTTTAGAAAATTTTTCATAACAGCAAAAGAACATTTTGGATGTCAAACCCCTCCCTTCTCCCATTAACTTAACTTCTTGGGCCATCTTCTACTGCTTTTCCAGGCCATAGCAGGGAGCTGGAAGGGAAGTGGGGCAGTCGGGACTGGAACGGCACCCATATGTGATGCCGACACTGCAGGTGGTGGCTTTACCTGCTATGCCACAGCTCCGGCCCCACAGTGTTTTGAAGTACTCTCCAAGGGACATAGTCAGATGGCAGCCAAAATTCGCTGAAACGTGGCTGCTGTGATCGGCTGAGACTCAGTGCTTGTTTACAGGGTATACTCTTAGGTTACAATTTGTTTACACTTCAAGATGTGTTATAGTTCATTATGTACATGAATAATTATTGATAAAATATGTTGGTGTAATGGCGTTCAAAGTAATTTTTTTTAACTTCACCCAGACCATCTATCCAAAACCGCAGCAAAAATGATTACCAGGAAAACTTTTATCTTTTTTTTTTGACAGGCAGTTACCAGGAAAACTTTAAAACCCTTGTTGCCTAAGTGAAAATGCCTGGTATCAGTGCTATTTTATAATGCCGAATGGGAGGCCGTGGACTTAATCCCAGAAATAAATACAAAGTCATATTTGAAGAAGTAAAAATATTGAAAACTTAAAAAAGGATCAGTGCATTGGAAATACAAAGACTCAATTTACTAGAGTTTTTTCTGATGTCCACATTAATAAAAAGAATGGGGAAATAACTAAGTGGACAACGGAATAAAGAACATAGACCATTTCAGGGACTGGTCAGTTTGTCAAAGGCACCAATCAGTGTAGGGGCTGTAGGAACAGGTGTAAGAGCGGGCAGGTGGACAGGGTCTCGCGAGCATCTCCAGCCCCGCCCCCGGGTCCCACCACTGGCCAGAGCCCCGCCCACAGGCCTGGATCTGACCGCAGCCCGAGGCCCGGAGCCCGCCCACCCAGCACGAAGGCGGAAGCGGAAGTGAGGCAGGCGCCCTGCGCCGTCTCTTCCGGCCGCGTCTCCGCCCAGTGGGCGGTCGTCGGCCTTTCCCGCGTGGGGGTGCCGCTGCGTGGGGGGCTGGGGCGGCGGTGGCGGAGGGTGCGGGAGGGACCCCCGAGGCTTCCTCCTGAGGGCTTGGCGGACGGCGGCGACTGCCTCTTCGGAAGCCTCCAAAGCAGTCGTTGGGATTTTGTTTCATTTTCCCCCGAAGAAGGAGGAATCTGCGTCCGTGGCGTGTGCCCGTGCGTGCCCGGCTGCTGCGGATCTCGCGGTCCCGGCACCTGAGGTGAGCGCTGTGGGCGGAGCTGGCCGCCGCCCCCCGTGCTCGTGAGCAGTGTTTCGTCTGAGAATTTGCCTCCCTCGCTGCGTGTCCCTAGGTTAATTTTTAACGCGTTAAGTTCAAAGTGAAATATAAAGCTACTTTTTTTTAGATGTCCAGGCTGTGCATGTTTCTGTTTGGATGTAAATGTGTGCAGACCACGAGGCATCTGTGGCTGCAAACTTGCAACTTCCAACTGCTTTTGCAGTGTGTTGTATTCACATTCTCCTTTGTGTCAAGAAAGTTCTTTGTGCCTCGCCTGATACTCTCATCGGTTGCTCAGGAGTGTGTGTATGCCTGCCTATTTGTGAATTCCCCAGTTGTCCTCCCATCTCGATTGCTAGTGTTAATCATTGTAGTTGGAAAAGATACCTGCTGTAATTTCTATCTTAAGATTGTTTTGTGGCGCAGATAAAAAAAAATAAAAAAAAAAAGAAGATTGTTTTGTGGTCCGACAGGATTTATCCTGGAGAATGTTCCATGTGCACTTGAGAAGAATGTGCATTTTGCTGTTGGATAGAATTTTCTGCGCATGTTCAGTACTTTTGGTATAAACTGTACTCTGAGTTCAGTGGTTCCTCATTTTCTGTCTGGATGACCTGTCAGTTATTGAAAGACTGGGTATGGAAGTTCCCTGCTGTTATTGTCTTCTAGTATCTTTCTTCACATCTATAAATTTAATTATATATTTAGGCCGGCGCTGCGGCTCACTAGGCTAATCCTCTGCCTGCGGTGCCGGCACACCGGGTTCTAGTCCCGGTCGGGGCGCTGGATTCTGTCCCGGTTGCCCCTCTTCCAGGCCAGCTCTCTGCTGTGGCCCGGGAGTGCAGTGGAGGATGGCCCCAGTGCTTGGGCCCTGCACCCCATGGGAGACCAGGAGAAGTACCTGGCTCCTGCCATCGGATCGGCGTGGTGCACCGGCCGCAGCGCGCCAGCCGCAGTGGCCATTGGGGGGTGAACCAATGGAAAAAGGAAGACCTTTCTCTCTGTCTCTCTCTCTCTCACTGTCCACTCTGCCTGTCAAAAAAACAAATTAAAAAAATTGTTAAAAATTATATATTTAGGCTCTCTGATGCTGGCGGCGTATATATATTTCAGTTCTGTCTTCATGATGAGTGGATCTTTTTATCATGGTGTAGTGACTGTGTCTCCTTTTATAGTCTTTGACCTGTAGTCTATTTTATCTGATGAAAATATAGCTACCCCTGATTTTGTTTGGTTTCCATTTGCATGGAATGTCTTTTCCCTTTCAGGTTTTTTTTTTTTTTTTTAAATATTTATTTATTTATTTGAAAGGCAGAGAAGCAGAGAGAGAGAGAGAGAGAGAGAGAGAGAGGTCTTCCATCTGCTGGTTCACTCTCCAGATGGCCACAATGGCTGGAGCTGGGCCAATCCAAAGCCAGGAGTCAGAAGTTTCTTCTGGGAGACCCTGAAGACCCACCTCTCCCAATCATTTTGACCATCTTTCACTGCTTTCCCAGGCTATAAAAGGAGAGCTGGATTGAAAGGGGAGGTGCTGGGACTTGAACTTGTGCCCATATGGGATGATGGTGCTGCTGGCGGAGGCTTAGCCCACTGAGTTACAGTGCCTGCCCCCTTTCACTTTTTTTAAAATAAATTTTTATTTATTTGTTTTTATTTGAGAGAGAGACAGAGTTTGTCCACCAGGTCATTCATTCCTTAAATGCTCACACAGGTCTGTACCAGTCCAAAGCCAGGAGCCTGGAACACAATTCAGATCTCTCACTTGGGTGGCAGGGACCCGTTTACTTGAGCCATCACTGCTTGTCAGCGCACACATTGGCCAGAAGGTAGAATCAGAAGCAGAGCTGGGATTTGTACCTTGGCACTCTGATATCTAGTGTGGGTGTCCCAAGCAGCATGTTAATTGTGCCTTTTCCCAATCTTGTAGTTTCACAGTGTGTGTCCTGACAGATGAAGTCCCTGGTCAGACCCTGTCATTGTCTTGTTTGTTAATCCATGTAGCTGTCTGTGTTGGATTGGAGAACTTAATTCATGTACATTCATGGTGATTATTGGTAGGTAAGGACCTACTGGTGCCATTTTATTAATTGTTTTCTGGTTGCTTTGTACATCCTTCTCCCTCTCTTTCTGACTGCCGTTGTGATTAGATTCTTTCTCTAGAGATGTGCTTTGATTTTTTAAAAACTTTTATCCTTTGTATATCCTATAGGATTTTGCTTTGTGGTTACCATGAAGCCTACAGAAGACATCTTGATGTCATCACAGGGTATTTATTGATAAAATTTTAATTTTTTGAAGATATTTTATTTATTTTTTTGAGAGGTAGAGTTATAGAGAGAGAGAGGGAGAGACAGAGAGAGAGATCTTCCATCCACTGGTTCACTCTTCAAATGGCTGCAATAGCTGGAGCTGCACTAATCCGAAGCCAGGAACCAGGAGCTTCTTCCAGGTCTCCCATGCCAGTACAGGGAGATGTGGGCCATCTTCTACTGCTTTTCCAGGCCATAGCAGAGAGCTGGATTGAAAGAGGTGAACTGGTGCCATATGAGATGCTGGCGCTGCAGGAAGAGGATTAGCCCATTATGCCACAGCACTGGCCCCAAAATTTTAATTTTGATTGCATAAAGTAACTCCACTTTTCCTGAACTCTCACATCCTATTTTATTGGATTCACAATTTTTGTTGTGTATCCCTTAACAAATTATTGTAGGTATCTTTTTTAGATTTACTTATTTATTTTTTAAAGATGTATTTATTTATTTGAACGTCAGAGTTACACAGTGGCAGAGAAAGAGAAAAGAGAAAGGTCTTCCATTTGCTGGTTTACTCCCCAATTGGCCGCAATGTCCATGTGGAGCTGTGCTGATCTGAAGCCAGGAGCTTCTTCCGGGACTCACGTGGGTGCAGGATCCTGAGGACTTTGAGGACTTGGGCCATCTTCTACTGCTTTCCTAGGCCATAGCAGAGAGCTGGATTGGAAGTGGAGCAGCCTGGACTTGAACCAGCACCCTTATGGGATGCTGGCACTGCAGGAGGCGGCGTTACCTGCTAGTCCACAGTGCCGGCCCCTTAAGATTTATTTATTTATCTGAAAGCAGAGTTACAGAGAGAGGGAGAGATATTTTCCACCCACGGGTTTACTTCCCAAATGGCTGCAACAACTGGAGCTGGGCCAGGCCCAAGCCTGGAGCCAGGAGCTTCTTCCAGCTCTCCCACATGGGTGCAGGGGCCCGAGGACTTGGACCATCCTCCACTGCTTTCCCAGGTGTATTAACAGGGAGCCGGAAGGGAAGTAGAGCAGCCTGGACTGGAACTGGCATCCATATGGGATGCCAGCACTGCAGGCCATGGCTTAACCCATTGTGCCAGAGCATCTGCCCCTATTGTAGCTGTTTTTATTTGATAATAGAGAAACTTTATATGTGAGTAATGTAACGGTGCTGTTAGACAAATTGGGAAGGCTGTAATTTACCCTTTTGAAGCAGAAATAAACTTGACATTTTAAAATACAGGGACACCTTAAATATTACAAAGTATGGCGTGAAACAAAAGTAAACATTGAGGAATAAATTGTTCTATCATTCAAGAAAATAGAAATACTAATGCTAACTTTTTGCTCCTAGTAAACTGAAACATACAAACCAAGCATTTTAATAAATCTGGGATGGGGCCGACGCTGTGGTGTACTGGGTATAGCCTGTACCTGCGGTGCCGGCATCCCAGATGGGCGCTGGTTCAAGTCGCTGCTGCTCACTTCCAATCCAGCTCTCTGCTGTGGCCTGGGAAAGCAGTGGAAAATGGCCCAAGTCCTTGAGCCCCTCCACCTACATTGGAGACCCAGAAGAAGCTCCTGGCTCCTGGCTTCGAAGCGGCACAGCTCCGGCCATTGTGGCCATCTAGGGAGTGAACCAGCAGATGGAAGACCTGTCTCTCTGTGCCTCTGCCTCTCTGTAACTCTGCCTTTCAAATAAATAAAAAAATCTTTAAAAAAAAAATCTGGAATGCCTACCAATTATCTCATTTGCTTCTATGTAACATTATTCCATTTTCGATAGTTTTATGTTTTAATCTACATAGTAATGAGTTAAATGTTTCACAAAACATCATTAAAGTATTTTGTGATTTACTGTGTTTAATTTTACTTGTAAATTTTATACTCTCATATGTTTTCCAGTTATTTAGCATCCGTTTTTTTTTCAACATGAGAAACTCATTTTAGTTTTTAAGATTTCTTCATTCAGAAACCAGTGACTTTCAGCTTTGGTTATAGACGGTAAAGAACTGAAGTGCTCACTACTCAGTGATTTGAAAATGTTAATGCTAAAAAAAAAAAAAAGAAAATGTTAATGCTGGGGCTGGCTCCATGGCACAGCTGGTTAATCTGGTCCCAGCTCCCCCTCTTCCTGTCCAGCTCTCTGCTATGGCCTGGGAAAGCAGTGGAGGATGGCCCAAGTGCTTGGGCCCCTGCACCTGCGTGGGAGACCAGAGGAGGCACCTGGCTTTTGGCTTCGGATCGGCGCAGCCCGCCAGCCGTAGTGGCCATTTGGGGAGTGAACCAATGGAAGGAGGACCTTTCTCTCTGCCTCTCCCTCTCACTCTGTAGCTCTGCCTCTCAAATAAATAAAATCTTAAAAAAAAAAAAAAAGAAAATGTTAATGCTGTATAAATGTCATATAATTAATTTCCAAAGAATATGTATTAAGTAAAAGTCTATAAATATATTAATGAGGCCAATTTTTCCAGCATTTTTTATTTTTTTTTCACTTGTTAGGAAGCTGTTGATAGTACTTAAAACTGCAACTTCTAAACACAAAATAAATAAAAAAGAAAATATTTATAGGTGGAAATGATTAATTTCTTTAGTGAATTTGTGTAATTTCCCAATGAGTGTGATACAATTCATGGGAACATTCAAGTATCTGATAATTTTTTGACCCTTTACATTTATTCTAAAATAACTTACAATATGAAAATAAGGCATT